GAAAAGAAAAAAAAAAAAAAAAAAAAAGGAAAAAAAAAGAGAAAAAGAAAAAAAAGTGGAAGAATTTTTGTTGTAAAAAAAATGAATCTATTTCGGTGAAGAGGGTGCACGCGCATATATAAAAAGTAATAAAGGGAAGCACGTTTTGTTTTTTATCATTATGCATGTATCATGCGAGAATATAAAATAAGTTTCAACGAGTGTATAAAATTTGGCGGCGAAGACGAAAAAGAATCGGTGAAATTGTTATATGATACGATGATTACGGTGCGATTAATCGCATCACGATTTTTTCGAGACACCCGGTGTATGTTTATAATTTTTTTTTTTTCTTCTTCTCGTACTACGTGTACTACTGCATCAACTTAAGAGAACTTGAAATTCGACACGATGAAATATTGAAATGTGAAACATCTATCGTTTGTCGATACGTTTGTCGAGAGAAGGTTATTGGTTTTATTTAAGAAACGAAAATAATCTATGATGAAAAATTGTTTTAACATGTATATCGAATATGTAAGGGGGGGGGGAAGAAAAAAAACTGTAAATATTTCATATATGATAACCGAATGATATTCTTTAGGATACATCACATCGCATAGAGGACCATTGAGATTTTCAGTTCGTGGAAACGTGCTATAACGTTAATTTATTTGCACACTTTCATTTTCAAGTTTCGTCGACGAAACTTGCTCGATTTCTTCGGTATCTCGTGTTTAAGGCCCTCAACGGACCAGCCACACCTAATCACACAAATGTACATACTTATATTGCACTAATTTTAATATTGCCGCTGAGTATTATAACTAGTCATATAAGCCAAAAGTTTGTTACTCTCGTAAAGTTTTCTTTTTTCTCAATTTTGTAATAAAGAATGATGAGCAAAGTCCTCGAATTGATTTTTTTTTTTTTTTCTTTGTTATTTATCCTATTAATCCTATCCCACTCCAACGTAGCAGAAAGTAATTTTATCCAAATCTTGCCTTATTAAAGTTACAGCATATTATTGCTCTGTATCCCCTCTCTATATCCCATAACGTCCAACGATGTTCTACGATGGGTGCAAACAATGTGATATATCTATTATTCGATCTAGATCAAAATATCTAAAGGAAATTTGCAAAATCTAGATTGGATTGCGGATATAATTCTTAATTTGGCATCCAAACAAAGTAATTTTACTAACACGATTTGTCTAATATAATTTTTCCAATCTAATCTAATTTCATTTAAAGATTTTACCTTTTGCAAAAAGTAACATCAATTACCATTATGCGGACGAAAATTGTTCGTAAAGGATATAATGTGAATAAATTATGTACAAAATTAAAAGAGCCTGAAGCTATACGAGAGAAATGTGATACAAAAATTAAATAAATTTAAAAAAATCTAAAACATTTAAATCGAGAGAATTAACAATCTTTTTTTTTTTTTTTGAATGCTAAAATATCCGTTCAAAAACAGCTATAATTTATAAAAATTGAATGGTACAGATATTAAGATTTTTAATCAATAAATTGGACAGCGATGCAATAAAGCTAATCGGAAATTGGGTTAGCGCACGAATTTGTTGAGTAAATGCAGACAAGGAAAGGGAATAGTGAGAGAAAAACACAGATAAGGTAAAAATATTGAAATCAACGCCATCTTCAGAGTGCCGCAAATGAAACTCGCAAAGAAAAAAGAACAAATAGTACGAGAAAGATAGATATAGAATAAGAATTGATCGTTAACGCCATCTCTTGTCGAATAACATTTTTCAAAGAGTTTTTTTTTTTAAAATAATCTCAACAGATGGCATTAATTTTTAATTCTTGAATTTAAAATCCTTGTATATAAAATCAAAACAAAAGTTATTCATTTCTAACATGAAATACGTAATAAATTTTATGCCACAGCCTTATCTTATCATTCGTAGTCAATATTGCAATACGACAATAGTCCAAGTAATGGCTTCTTGTCCATAACAATGAAATATTTGAATATTCACGAATAAAATTTGTGAAATTATCATTAAATTGTTACACCCGCGAATGAATATATTTAAAAAATAAATACACATAATATAAATACTTTTAGGAACAAATATATTTTAGAATAAAATTTTAAAAACAAAAATTTCGCGAATGATTCTATTCTAGAACGCGCACGTCTAAACGATACAGCGGTCGAAATACAAGTGTAAGTATTTCAACTTTTCGTAATATTAACTCGACAGGCAAAGTCACGCTTCATCGATAATGGCGTAAACTGTAAACTTTTAACGAAGAAAACTTCCTCTATATAAAATATTTTAATATTTTAATTTTCAATTATATAATTATTATATAATCGAAATATTTTTAATCTTACAACTTTTATAATTTGCAATATCTATATATTTTTTATTTTAAACGAATTCTTAACAATAATTTGAAATTGAAATTCGTATTTGAATTTAATCACAATCACGATCTCGAAACAAAGGCTATTTTCTCATAACTACGTTTCATGTAATTACCTTTTAAAAAACAATAACACAAAGGAAACATTATTACGAAACAAAAAAAAAAAGATTAATACTGTTCTTTACACGAACAGTATTAAATTGATAGTGCAAGAGTAGGTTTCTTATCGTTCCTCTTTGTTATCGATTTAAAATTAAATATATTCAAGAATCAAATAATAAAATAACAAAATTAATACTTGTATTTCGGTTGAAATAACAAAAAAGAAAATTACATTGTACAAATCATAATAAACATTTTCTTTCGCTCCTTGTTATTTCATCCTCATTTCACTCGTGATTATCGCGGAGAGTTCAAATGTTAATTCATTGCCACAACTTCCAGGATAAAAGGAAAAAAAAATCTAATTTAAAAAAATGTTTAATACTTTATATAAAAAGATAATATTGTATATTTTTTGATTAGATAAAATAAAGTTTACAATCATTCTACGTATTTTTAATTGCAAACGCTTTATTATTACGTAGAGTCGACTATCAGTTGCGTAATTAAAAATTCTAACATCTGACAGCACAATTTTAAATGAAATACGTATTCATCGAGAATCAGTTCACGGTTAAAAACGGATTATTACGTGTAAGATCACTCAGTTGTAATACTAAAATTTTGATTTTTTGTTAGGTATGTGCTGTATATAAATATATATATATACATAAATGAGCGAACGAAATTATTTTCAATAATTTCCTAAGATATTTCTTTCGATATATTTTTCAACATCTACCCGAGTATACGAGCTTTACTTAAGTAATAAGTTTTAGAACGAAACAAGGAACAATGACTGTACACGCTTCCACTTTCTCTGTTAATATACCGATACAATACACGACGAGTATTTTGCTCGTTCTATTGACGATAAATAACGATATTTCGTCTGCCAAAATTTGCAACGGATCGTCGGAAAATTGTAAGTACACTGTTCTCTTACAAATTTAAATAATTTCTAAAATCCTTTTGCGTTTATATTTAGGGCAATCCCGAATCGGTATACTTATTTCACCAATAATCTCGGGATCAATGATGCGCGAAATAGAAATTTATTGGAACAACGTCAATATTGAACCAGAGGATAAAATCTCGCTATACGTGGAAGACTCTAAGGGACTGCCACGTGAAATTTACACCGTGGTTCCGAACGATTCGAACGGGATTCAAAAAACTGGCGTGTTGGCCGAATTTGTGCCCAGCGCAAACCTTTCTTTCGTATCCAAATGTATAAGTAAATAATCTTAGGAGAAGAAAAAAAATAAAATTACCAGTGTTTTTGTGTTTTTATATATATATATACATTTCTTTTTAACAATTTTCAGAGTACGGAATAATATGGAAATCGAACAGAGGAGACGTAAAAAGAATCGATTGTTTAAGAACGTATCCAACGTGGATGAAAGACATGAAAGATATTCTCGGTCCTTTGAGGATAAAGGATATATTTTTACCCGGGACGCACGATTCCGCGGCGTACGATGTGAACGGTACTATGATAAGCATCATTTCGAAATTTGCCGTTACACAGGTAAATATAAAAATGAAATATTGTTGATTTGTTATTTGTTATGTATTATTATCGTTCAACAAATTCATAGGATTTAGATATTCTTGGACAATTGATACACGGTGTACGATATTTGGATATTAGGTTAGGGCATTATCCCGAGAACAGTGAGGTTTGGTGGACCATTCACGGCCCATTTTATCGTTCGGTCCCGTTAAAGACCGTTATAGATCACGTGAAAAGTTTTCTCGACAATACCAAGGAAATCGTGATAATGGACATACGTGAATTCGCCGTTGGTAATTTGGCTCTCTAACCTCTTCCAACTCCGTCGTTTGACCGCACATTGATACTGTTGATGAACAGGTTTCAATAATTATTCCGATCATCGTGCGTTGGTGTCGCATCTGGAACACGAATTTCGCGATTATTACCTGACCCGAAATAATCAAGGATGGGGCGTCACGTTGAACGAGATCTGGTCTTCTGGAAAAAGATTGATAATCGGTTACGAGGATTCGAAAGTCGTGGCTAATCACGCAAGTGTGTGGCCTTGTGTGACGCATAAATGGGGGAATGTCAAGACCGTTGAAGACTTGTACAAATATTTGCATAAAGTTGAAACCAACAATAGGTAAAACATTTCTTGAAGTGCAATTAAGGGGATAATGATGATTCGAGAAAGGATTTAATTTATAACTATACTGTGAGAGGTGTGTTAAAAGATACGTATTTTTTCTTTTTCGCTATACGTGGAAGACTCTAAGGGACTGCCACGTGAAATTTACACCGTGGTTCCGAACGATTCGAACGGGATTCAAAAAACTGGCGTGTTGGCCGAATTTGTGCCCAGCGCAAACCTTTCTTTCGTATCCAAATGTATAAGTAAATAATCTTAGGAGAAGAAAAAAAATAAAATTACCAGTGTTTTTGTGTTTTTATATATATATATACATTTCTTTTTAACAATTTTCAGAGTACGGAATAATATGGAAATCGAACAGAGGAGACGTAAAAAGAATCGATTGTTTAAGAACGTATCCAACGTGGATGAAAGACATGAAAGATATTCTCGGTCCTTTGAGGATAAAGGATATATTTTTACCCGGGACGCACGATTCCGCGGCGTACGATGTGAACGGTACTATGATAAGCATCATTTCGAAATTTGCCGTTACACAGGTAAATATAAAAATGAAATATTGTTGATTTGTTATTTGTTATGTATTATTATCGTTCAACAAATTCATAGGATTTAGATATTCTTGGACAATTGATACACGGTGTACGATATTTGGATATTAGGTTAGGGCATTATCCCGAGAACAGTGAGGTTTGGTGGACCATTCACGGCCCATTTTATCGTTCGGTCCCGTTAAAGACCGTTATAGATCACGTGAAAAGTTTTCTCGACAATACCAAGGAAATCGTGATAATGGACATACGTGAATTCGCCGTTGGTAATTTGGCTCTCTAACCTCTTCCAACTCCGTCGTTTGACCGCACATTGATACTGTTGATGAACAGGTTTCAATAATTATTCCGATCATCGTGCGTTGGTGTCGCATCTGGAACACGAATTTCGCGATTATTACCTGACCCGAAATAATCAAGGATGGGGCGTCACGTTGAACGAGATCTGGTCTTCTGGAAAAAGATTGATAATCGGTTACGAGGATTCGAAAGTCGTGGCTAATCACGCAAGTGTGTGGCCTTGTGTGACGCATAAATGGGGGAATGTCAAGACCGTTGAAGACTTGTACAAATATTTGCATAAAGTTGAAACCAACAATAGGTAAAACATTTCTTGAAGTGCAATTAAGGGGATAATGATGATTCGAGAAAGGATTTAATTTATAACTATACTGTGAGTAGGTGTAGTTAAAGTATTACGTTTTATTTTTTTTCTTTTTTTTCTTTTTTTTTTTTTTTTTTTTTTGTTTAAAGGGACAACGTACTGAGACCCCGATCTGCGATGGCGGAATTGACCCCGGATTTTAACGATATTATCACGAATAGATTAGGAAATCTTCGAGATATGGCGCATAGAGTTAATTTGAACGTGACTAATTGGTATAGCACCATTTGGCAGTACACTGCCAATATCGTAGCAACAGATTTCATCAGAGACACGGATATCGTTCAAGTTGCTATTAAATCTAACAAAAATCGTCATTTGTACTGTGAGCATTTATTTAGGCGTTAATTTCGTTTAATTTGGTTAATTAATTAATTATTCGTTATTAATTAAGAAAGGAATTTATTTTATATTGAATTTGTTTTGCAATTGCTGTAAATAAATATTGTAAATAATAAATCGGTAAATCTATAGATGAGAGATTTTTATGATCTATAAATGTATTCGAGCAATAAAATCTTTTAAATAAGATTTTCACGATAATTTTTTTTTCTTCTTTTTTTAACAGAAACTATACCTCACGATTGTATAATGATTAAAAAAGTAATGTTTATTTAAGAGTATCATTTTCTGCCATGACAATGAGATTTCCGCCGGAAGAACGAATAATGCTTTCAACGTAATAAAAATCCCCATTACGTATTACGAAATTGAAATGAGATCTGCCAAACAGATCAGTATAAAAGATGTTTTAAACGGTATTGCTCGATCAATGAAAAATGTTTCTTTTATTCGTATTTTTTTATTGTTTTTTCGTATTAAGAATCACCGACCAGACACAATATTTTTCCAGAGAAACATATCCGGTTAATTTCATTACTTGTCCAAATGATAAAATGTGTATCTTTATCGAACATTGCTCTTCTATTTTAAATTTAATGAATCATAATCTACTTCCAATTCATAGGTAAGTACATCAAGTGTGATTTTATACTATTAATAGTAGTATAATGGGTAAAAAAAAATATAAACGAGGTAATGAAATCATTATTACCTTGAAATCATTATTAGAATTATTTAATTGAAAATTATTCAAATTTTATTTATATTTCCACTTTAAAACTTCTAATGTAGATTTCGCCAAGCAATTTGTGGTTACGAAAATACGAGACCAAAGGTGTGCTGCAACATAAATGATAATAACGTAAACACATTTTTCACGCAAACGGATGATACATTTTACGCGAGACGGAGTTTAAAATGTGGTAAAAGTTTCGTTCATGGAAATGTTAACACTATAGGAATGTTTCCTTTTATTGCAAGAATTGGATATAAAAGTAAGAGAAAAGTCTAGAGTTATTTATTTATTTCATAGACGTATCAGATTGATTTTATAATTCTTTCCCAGGTAATACAGGGAAAATAACGTATCCTTGTAACGGTGTAATTCTCAATCAACGCACAATATTAACTACTGCAAATTGTGCCATTACAAACTTTAATAATTATAAACTGTGAGTATTTATAATTTTTAAGGTAAAAATTTGAACAGATTTTTAATCTTTCGATAGGAATTCTGTAATTATTGGTGAGTTTGATACTGATACTGATTCTAATTGTAACGTACAGAAAATAAATATATCGTATGTGATAAAACATCCTAATTACCAAGCTGAAACTTTCACGAATAATATAGCGATGTTACATTTGAAAGAATCAATACGATATACCGGTAATTATTCAAATTTTCTTAATTCTTTGTGTGAAAAGATGAATCAACCAAATTTTTATTTTCTTTTTTTTAATTCAGTGACTGTACAACCTGTTTGTCTTTTACCAAAAAATAATTATATAGATGTAGGAATAAATGCTATTCTCGTTGGTTGGGGCAAATTTGCAAATCGAAAGGGTAAGAAAAAATTATAAACAACTCGTTTAAATAACAAAATATTTTTAAATTTTAAATATCTAAATCTTATTAAAGAAAATCCTTGTAAGCAACAATTTTTGAAAATGAGAATTGTATCGATCGAAGAATGCATGAATTATTATTTCGAAGGATTAACTGTTGAATTGTGTACTATAGGAGATGAAATACCATGTTCGGGATATAACGGAAGTCCTCTTTTACTTAAATATGGCGACTCTCATTTTTTGGTAAAAATTTACTATTTATTCATGATATTTCACGAAATTTTATGTTATGTATAATTAAATCATATATTTATATATAAAATTACAATTATATATTTACATAAATTTCAGTTAGGTATTTTATCATATAGTTCCAACTGCAATGTAACCACCAGCTTTCCATCAGTCTTTGTCAATGTACAGAAATACGTAACATGGATTCTAGAAAATTATTAATTATATTTATTAAAGGATTAATAATTTATTAATTTTAATGTATATTTGAATAAAATATACATATATATTATTATTTTCTTACGTATATATCATCTTTAATCAAACCTTTGCTATTTATGCTTGAAAATGTTTAAATATTTTCCACGAGTCATCTCTTTTGCCTCTTCCAATCCTAATTGATACGCCATATCATGTAATTTTTTTACTTCGGATATTAAACCACCCATTGACAAATTTCCTAATTCTTATTAATAAAAATTATTTATTTTTGACATAATAAAAAATATTCCATGTAATTTTGTTATCAAATATAAACTTACGATGTAACTGATTTATATCATCTGGTGTGAGACCAGCAGCCCAAGCAGATGGTTCTGTTTGAGGTGAATTTTGAGCTACAAATTCATTTACACCTGGAACTTCATTAATCATTAATATGATTACACGATATATTATTTTTTTCTTTCAAAATGAAGTATATATAATAATAATACATAAGATATACCTACTAGTATATATAATGTACACATAAGATATACCTACTTTGTTCAGGCCATAAATCTGGTGATGCTCTATCTAGTTTTTCTAAACTCATAAGACTTTCTTCTACACAAATTAAATCTATAAATAAGAAATATATCAAAGTAAAATTTATTATTATTTCGTTGAAATATATGTATATTTCAAAAATACCTGGTTCTGTTGGTTCTTCCGTAGTCATTATGTTCATTGATATTGTATAACCTAACCTAACCTAAAGTCAACAGCGAAATCTAACGTAAAAGGAAAAATAAATAAATCCACAAATGTAATTAATAAAATCACAAATTATAATTGCACGCAATAAATTATTAAATTTTTGTTACAATAAATATTATACAATATTTACATGTTATAAGGTTTGAAGGTTTTTTTCGTTTTTTGATGATTCTCGCAACTGATCTGCCAACTGTGTTTGTTGTTTCAACAATGATTTTAATTTATTCTGTTCTTGTCGTTGAATATCTCGTTCTACACCTATCTCAAGTTGTTTTCTATAAAAAATTATGAAAATATACGTGACAAACGTGCTACGAAAAAACAATTTTATCGTGTAACATGTACTGAACACTGTAGTCAAATTAATTTACATTTATGCGATGTAATATACAAAATATCCATTAGAGATTCTAATTTCAGATCGAAAAAAAAACATAACTAATTCGAAAAATTTTATATTACAAAAATAAAAGAAAAAAATTGTGTCTTCTTATAAAATGATTGTATGATATAAATTTCAACTAATTAATTCAATCGAATTTTCTTTCGAAATGCTGATTTAAGAACGAAACATTTGAAGAAAGAAATATTTGTCTTCAATTTATATACATTTATTTATTGTTATGATATATTATATACTTGATACTTATTCAATGTATAAATACATGTTACACGATGGTCAGAATTTTATGTACGTTACTTGAATATAACCTAATATAAAAAAATTTTATATTACCTCTCAGCTTCTTGTTGATAGTGCACATAAAATATGATACTTGCCGATGTTGCACAACATAATGCGAAAGTAATTTTTGCAGGAAGTGACATAATATTTTTCTTACGATTCAAATATATTTATGCACTTTATATGCGGCTTTATTATCGACAGTACATAATCGTGGGAGTGCGAGATATCGAATACGCTTTGCGAGATATTGAATTAGATTCTCGCAAGTACGTACGATTAATTTGTGAAAAGAACAGAGTGTAATTTTGTTGTGCAAAATCGAGGAAAATTGCGACAAATCTTAAGAATAGATGCTGAGAAATGTGAGTGAAATATCTTTTTGTATATATTCTTTATTATTTTGTTAAAAATATTTGCTTTATAAAATAATATATATGTATATATTATAATAAAGTATATATATCTTTGGCGTGCTATACTTTCGCCATTTTAATTATTAAAACAAATTCCATACATACGAAACCTCATTTGTTATCTTATTATCTATTATTTATTAATATTGATTGAAAGTAACAATTTTACTAGTTATTTTTTGCGAAATATATGAAAAACAAATTTAGTCTAGAATTTATTATCGACAGAAAATACGATAGCTAGAAAGCTACCGAATTTCGCCGCGAGAGAACACATCAAGTACTTGTACATTATAAAATAAATCAAATTCATAATAGATCAAATAGATAGATTTATATATCATAAGAACTTGTAATAATAATATCAACGTTATATAGATAAATTTAACAGTTAGTTAAATGAAACGGTAAGTACCTATTATAATTATTTAATTAAATTTAGTAATTCATAACTTTAATTCATTTTGTTATAAAATTTTCAATCAAGTCTCACCTATTTCTTTAATTTCATAAATTTAAGCAAAAATCTTTCGAAAAAAAGATATTTATTCTAAATATCTATCTTCGAAATTTATTTTTTTTACCTTCGAAATATTTTTTTTATTTTAATTAATCAAAATACACACAATTTTACTCGAAACAAAGGAAAAATTTTCAGAAATTTTCCAACATCTGTTATATATTCTATCTTTCGTATTAGTCTTATTATTTCGGGAGGGATGATAATCTTCTCGTGACCATGCAACCATCTGAAATGTAATTGGGACTGGAAGGAATCTGATGATGTGGAAGGGTGGAGACGATGTAAGAGGGATATAGGGTCCGTTCTTATCTACAAAATACAGGCCACATTTCTCTGCCTTTTCACGTTCCACATCTCGTAAGTTATATCACGAGTTCGGAAACATCGGAGGACACGGTATGATGAATCGACCTCGTTGCCCTTTTGTTCACCCTCCAGCTAGATGATTTCAATTTTGAATTATGCACTATTTTTTTATTGCACTATTATTTTAATTATCATTTTTTCAGAATTTTACACAAATTATCGTTTTACAAAAATCGCTTTAATTCGCTCGCGAATCGAGATAACATTTTTTAAAGAAATTCGAAATGAATTTCTTCCCTAAAATTCTAAAGATCAGTTGGATGTACGTTAAGTTAAGTTTAACTCGAGCGTTGTGAAGCGTTAAGAATTATCAGTACTACTTCTTTCTTATCTACAAATACGAAACACGAGTTCACATAGATTCGAAAAGGAAAAGGAAGGATGTTTAACCGAAGATGCAGCTATCCATT